TTGAAACATTGGCAGGAGGGAGAGGGATGTCATAAGGGGGTAAGATGTGGAATTTTGGGCTATAATAAACAACGAGTTCATGGAAGTGGTGACAAGCCCAAACTGCAAATAATTGAGATTTTTTTGAGTAAGTAGAGACGTTCAATTGATTGGCTATCACATTTTGGTGAACTTATTATCAAGTTGTTTTTTGTACCGCTGAAGACTAAAAGTCGGCATCAAAGGGCTGTTGGGAAGAGATTGACATAAAATTTGTCCGATCAGCCAACTGATTAGAAGTGGGAAACTTTACAAATTTTTTCTCTCGCACAAAATGCTTTGGAATGTCAATGCATTTTATTGTAAATCAAATTCTGCTACACACCCTTGACCGAGTACCTTGTTTTTTACGCTTACTTACAGATGTGTGATCATTCTCATCCTGGGGAAGGTGGTTGTGAGACTGAAACCAGTGACAGTGCAGATTACGGTGATATCAAGCAGTACGACATGTATAAGTACATCGACATGGATAAGGTAGTTTGGGATTGAAACATAATTTATAGTTATTATCATTCATTGTCGTTTTAAGGTGACAGTATTGAATGAGACTATTGATGGAAGTGGAAAGCTTGTTTTCAAGAGTATGGAAATGAGATTGGACAAGTTAGTCATTTCAGTCCAAAAGCCTCATTAAACATAGACAACTATATAGTTTTTGTGCATTATCGAATGCTTCGGTACCTATCACTCGCAATTAGTTGGTACCAGCCTGAAGAGGCTATGTGGCAATTAATACCTTCGTCAGCTCATCATGTGTGGTAATTATTACACTCTAGAGTACCTCGAAATGTTTATGTGTAGAACGCGGTGGGTGAGAAAAATCACTTGAACATTGCAAATGGTTAGAATCGTTTTCTAGCACTACCACTCTCAGTGCTAAAAATTTCGAAAACTCGGCTTTCGCTAAAGCCACCCAAAGGATTACTTTTTTATGTTGATCACAAAGCTATTTTCACTTTTGCAAGTTAAGGCCTCACTTCAAGATTGAGGTGACAAGACGTCAAATAAAAAATCTTTCTGCAAAGAGACTATGGGTTATTTGATATGCTTTTCAAAATCATTCCTCTTCTCATGTTAGGGTTTAATAGGGTTACAGTAGGTAGAGTAGGGAGATCGGAATCATAAAACTGCCTAAAATGTGATTTATTGGCGTTACAAGACATGGTGGTCACAAATACCACGCTTTTCCCGCTTTAACCCACACGTTAGTACTTTATCGTAGAGACACGGATACGGTATTATACGTCATGATAGGTGCTTTGATAGGTTTATTCCCACATTGGTTGTCAATATTGGACCTTTTTACCGATATGAGCTGGTACAGTCACAACAGTGAAAAAGTTACTTCTTGGATAAAGAATAAGTAGGGCTATAGCTGTTGCAACTCTACAGTAGGACATAAGTTTGATAATTGCATTTCATGCGTTAAACAACCCCGCTAAGGAAG